TCCCAAGCAGCTGGGACCACAGGTGCCCGCCACAAGGCCTGGCTATTTTTTTTTTTTTTTTTGGTTGCAGCCATCACTGTTGTTTGGCGAGCCTGGGCTGGATTCGAACCTGCCACCTTAGGTGTATGTGGCTGGTGCCTTAGCCGCTTGAGCCACAGGCGCCAAGCCCAGAAAGGTTTTTGAAAGTTGAGAATATTGCTTTCCTTTTTCTAACTAAAAAATTTTGTTAAAATACACATAACATAAAATGTACCCTCTAACCATTTTTATTGCACAGTTCAATGGCATTTAGCGCGTTCACATTGGGTGACCAGCACTACCATCTGTCTCCAGAACTTTCTCACCTGCCCAAACTGAAACTGTCGGATTGAAACACCACCCCCCATCATCCCTGCCCCTAGCCCTGGCATCCTCTGTATTCCTTTCTGTCTCTGTGGGTTTGGCCACTCTCGTGGAATCCATCTGAGTGGAATTGTACAACATTCTTTTCCTTTGAACTGAACCTGGCAACTCCTGGTATCTGCCCATTTCCTCATTCCCAGCCTGGATAGCTCTGGGGGACAGTGGGAAGAACTGAGAGGGCCCCTCCCAGGCCAGCAGACTTCCTGCCATGCTTTGGGAGCGGCAAGGTGCCAACATCCCCACCCCCGCTCCAGCTGCCAATAAAAGATAAAAGTCGACCTTTGATGGACACACCTTCCTACTGGGTAGTCCCAGAGATGGTGCTAAGCTAAGCAAAGGCAGCCGTGAGGATAGCGTTGAAATCCGACCTGCTGCCAAGCCTCACGGTAGCTGAGTACCTCTTTGCCCTGATCACCTAATTCATCCCTTCCTTTATGCACTTATTCACCAAACAACATCCCAAACCTTCTGCCAAGACGTGCCCCTGTATGGCAGATGAACAAGGGAGGAGGTGGCCTAGTACTCAATTAATCAAAAAGACCATGGTTGGGACACCTTGATGGATAAACAGGCAGACCCGGCTCTGTTTTGTTTGACACCAGAATCCTGCAGTCGCTGGGCTGAGGTGGGGGTCACGGAGTGGGGCCACGGGCTGGCCACGTGGCTGCTGGGCACACAGCCTGATCTCCAGGAAATACAAAACAACTGAACAAATCAGGCCATTTTATCCAGAAGGCTCATCAAAAAACACTCTGGGAAAATTAACTGACAACAAACAAAATTTCCTCCTGGAATAGACAAAGCAGGGACAAACACGGAATTAAAACAAATTGCCACTGACCTCACATGGTACCGCAGACGCTAAACTGCCATTTTAACAACAAAGTAGTGATCCCATGACTGGGAGGCAGCACCGCCTGCCACCAGGTCCTCAGGGCTGAGTCACCAGCTTGGTGACCAACACTTCCCAGCTTTGCCGGTTTTCCAGGAGGTAAACTGGGAAACTGGGGTGAGTCCAAGACACTGGGACAGCCAGGCTTGTGGAAAGCCCACTGGCCACGTTCCGTGCCCCAGGGAGAGTGAGCCCCAGTGTTCCTGTCCTGCTCCATCACACGCTCACCATCCCACATCATCTTCACGCTCACCGAACCTCAACTACCTCATGTGCCAAATGGCACTGATGCCACCTTCTCTGCTCAGACTGGTGAGGGTGAAAGAAGATCCCGGCACACAGTAGGTGCTCAACAACTGGCACAGGTCATCATGAAACAGCCATTGTTATTACTCCCAGAACTGTGTGGGCACTTTGCATGCTGGTGGCCAACTGTGGGGACAGCAGTGGTTTGATCCCCAATGTGCGGTGCCCCCCGAACCTGGGCTGTTCAGTGTAAATAACTATGAGTCATGGCTGGAGCTGAGACCATAGGTCTGTGCCTGACACGCTGAGCCGTGCACAGCAGGGGGGGAAGGCGTCCAGAGCTTGTTTCCCAAGCTTGTTTATCATGGCATTTAGAAACCCCCAAGCCAAGTTGCCTAACTAGGCTTCCCATCTTCAAAGTTCATGGTACCCCTTGGCCTTGCCTGGCATCTTCCAACATGCAGATCCCCACGGCCGCCCTCCCCTCCTCAGCTCACGTTTCCACTTCCTCCTTTACTTTGAAAGTATCGATGGACCGAATGGTGCGTGGCTGGGTGTTCAGGCATGCGAGAGTGTGCCGCCATGGAGGAGGCATGGGATCTGAGCTCTGTGCTCTTTGGGAAGATAAGACCAGATCTGATTCAAATCTGCTTCCCCAGTTACCAGCTCCAGGCCTGGCACGACATCACAGCTACTCAAAATAAGTTTGTGGATGTGTAACCCAGATAGATGACGTGCTCCAGGCGGTCCAGTCCTTTCCTAGGATGATTTTTTTCAAAGAACCACAGTTCAGATACCAAATAGAGAGTACACAGGATTCCAGTGTTTACCAGCACCTCTCCATGGGTTACACGTAATCGAACCTAAAGTACAAAACAAGGTCTTTCAGGAGTCCCACCTTTACAGCCTTTGCGGAGAGGTAAACCCTCTCTTTCTCTATAAGTCTCGCCCATGTGTAATTGTTTTTCGTCCCAGCTTTCTGCTTAAGCCACCCTCTTTTCCTCATCTGTTTTCCCCTCTCTTTTTCCTCTGGAATCTGTACCACAGAAGACAGCAAATTGGCTAAGATTCTCTCTCTTTGGCAGGTGGAATAGGAGGGTGGCTGACGGGGCAGGGGGAAGCAATCAATAAATGGCACCCCCACCCGCCCGACTGACTGGTGGCACAAGCGAGTGAACGGAAACCAGCTAACTGTATCATGTCTACACTCCCTTGAAACCAAGCCCTTCACTTGGTGCTCTTGACAACTGCGATGTGAAAGTTTGGGGCCAACACTGGATTTCTAGACAGCTCATCTATTTTATCTAAGGCCAAGACTGCCTTGTGCTGGACCTCAGCAGTGATCCAGGAACTTGACTTTTGCTGAGTAAGTCAGGACTTCAAAGATTACACTTTGTACACAAGCTGCAGCCAACAGGTTTCTCAGGGCCAGAGGAAAGATGTGCTCAGGCCTTGGACACTGAGACGTCACCCAAGCAAGCCTGGTGGGAAGGGACCTAGAAGTCCCTAAAAGGTGATAGGCGGTCATGTGCCCCTCTGTCCTTGGGACCACATCTGGATACTGTGCAGACACAGATCAATGCAGTATCCCTTTAGCCCAACTTGTCACAGGGTCTGTGTCCCTAGGCCTGTGAGAATAGGGCCTCTGTACCCTCAGAGAATCCAGAGTGCCCATTATAGTCAGAGCCCAATGCACACACAGGGACCACACACATGGGGCGAGCTCAGTGGGGCAGAAAACTACCACCCTGGGGCTGAGCAGGGTCTGCCCTCTGCTGAATCTGCCTGCCTAGTGACCTCTCTTTCTCCTTGACATGGCTGAACCTCGACCTCCCTTTGTAGACCCTCATTCTCAGTCCTGTGGTATACTGTCAGTTGTACGGAATGTTCTAGAATACACACAGGAGATGGACACCTTTGCTTGGCTTTCATTCTTAACCAGCCCCGCTTAATGCTGCAAGTCCCCTGCAGGAAGCCCTCCAGGGATCTCCAATCAATGACCTTCGATTTTCAAGGACACTCAGTCTGCTCAGGCAGCAGCTCTCCGCAGGCTGAGACTGATGCTGTTCCCACTTGGACCCCACACTGGACGACACGGTTAACTCTGTGTGACTCTACAAAGCGTGAAACAGCCCTGGGAGAAGAGCTCAGGGTTCAGGACCAGCCACAGCCCATAACAACTGTAAGTGACCCTGTGAGAGACACATGATCTTCATCTAAAACACAGACATAACGGCAGCGCCAACTCCACAGAGCTACCAGGCGCAAGAAAGGAGCCGTCTACGTGAAGCGTCCTGCCTGGGGTCTGGCACACGATACCCGCCCAACAACAACAGCAGCTGGTGCCACGCTGAGCCTCGGATGTTGGGTGGGGCTGGAAGTCAGGAGGCTGCGGCTCCATCTGTGATCACAATGACCCCTGCAGCAGGTGGACATTCTGACCCCCACGGTGCGTGGTGAATGCCCATCACTTGAAGCTGCAGCCAGCCCTCCCTGGCTTGGCAGAGACTGTAGCCACGGAGCATTCATATTAGACCACCTCCCACTGCCCACTCTCTAGACAGGTGATCACCACTGAGGTGACCAGCCACTGAGGACCCACATGCCTGCCTGTGCTTCCATCTCCTGCCCTCCTTCTCTCCTCCCTACAGGGGTCACCGGGGTCCTCAGCCTCTACTCTGCCTACGTCCCCACTCAGACCCCCAGCCTCAGCCTCTTCCAGAGCCCTTGAGCCCCTTTTGTGAGAACCTTCTCTGATGCTGCTCTTGAATCCAGTTCTCCTGCCTCCTTGGCTGCCAACCGCCCGGATGTGCTGTTTCTGCCTCCTCTCCCTGTGTCCACGTTCAATCTGTTGTGAAATTCAGTTCAGCCTCAGAGTTGCCCATGGGTTGCCAGCTCCAAGGGGTTTATCTTCTTGATCTCAACCACTCTTATCCCCAGGATACAGACAGGACACTGTGGCCCAGGCATGGGAAGAGGCATGCCTGAGTGACCTGGCTTGGGTGACAGCAGAGCCCCCGACTAACCGACTCCTGCCTCATCCTCCCTTCCCTCGCTCCATGCTTGCCTGGGGGACTCACTCCTCTGAGAATCACTCTTAGAACCATCCCTGCCATCCTTCCACCTGGCACCTCCCACCTGGGTACCTCTTCCCAGAGGCTTCAAGGCCCCTTGAGCCTAGGTCTGGCCCTTCCCCTGTCTTCCCCTGTCTCACCCACGTCTTGAGGCCCTGGTGGTTAGCTAAGTTCCACAGCCTGGCCAAGACTCTTTTGTGGCTCATTCCAGCACTGGGAGGCATTCTCCCTCAGCAGCCCCTCCTCATTTGATGGACGTCATATGCTGGGGAAGTTCTGAAGCAGCCCTGTCCCGGGCCTGGCCCTGCCCTGCCACTGGCTTACAGAGCACCTGCGGGCAAGTGAGCCCCCCTCTCTGTGCTGAAGCCTCCTCATGAAGAAAAAGGCGCCCATGGAAATATCTAAACTAAACCGAACACTACATGAGCTCACGCATGCAGAATCCCCAAAAGGTGCCGGCACACAGTGAATGCTCAAGAACACAAGCATTTTACACAGTTATTGTCGTCACTGTTGTAAGTTTTATTTGCAGTCAGCGTCATCACACTGCCCAGCAGTTAAGTTTGGGGCTTTGAGCTGGGCCTCGGTTCCCTTCCCTCTGCAAGCCTCTGGCTCTCCAGGCCTGGCCCAGAGATGGTCACATGTTAAGTACTCAGTGAACACCTGTCTAGCCAACCCGGGATGAAGCTGTGGGGTTTGGGTCAGCAGTTTATGTAAACGCAGAATTACTGTATGATCCAGCAACTCCACTCCCAGATCCAAAGAACTGAAAACAGACACTTGAACACTTGTACAAAAATGTTCATGTCAGCATTATTCAAAATAACCCAAAGGTGGCAACAACCCAAGGATCCCTCAACTGATGAATGGAAAAACCAAATGCGGTCTGTCCACTCGATGGAATATTATGCACCCACAGAATGAACACAGCACCGACACGTGCTACAGTGTAGGTAGACCCCAAAACCATTATGCTGAGAAGGCGGCCAGACACCACGGTCACATATTACACGATCACATTTATGGGAAACGTCCAGAGCAGGCAAACCCACAGAGACAGAGAGGGGATTAGCGGTTAGCTGGGGCAGGAGGCAAATGGGGAGTGAGTGCTAAGAGGTGGAGGCCTTCCCTGTAGGACGAGGACAAGTTCAGCAACTAGACAGAGCTGACGGCTGCACAGCACCACGAATGAGCCATGTGCCACTGAACCGGGCACTTCAACCTGGGTAAAGTGGCAAATGTTACGGTATGTGTAACTAACCCATCAAAAAAGATGTGCTGGAATGGGAGAAAGTGTATAAACACACGACAAAAGCTATTTCTAATATACACATAGTAAGAAATAAAAATCCACGGAGACAAACTTCACCAGCTCCAGCCTGTAGCAGCAGCGGCAGCTGTTTCCGTCAGCTTCTCTGCATCCCAATTTTATGTGTGCAGACGGTCCTGGTACTCAAACCATAATGAAATACTACTGCCCTGAAGCTAGGGGAGGCGGAGTTGACTCTAAATCCCTGAAGGTTCCCTAGGGGTGGGGCACACATCCCACACCCTGCTCCCCAAACTCCTCAGTATTTTGGTGGGCCAGTGGGCAGAATTCAGGGAAGGGCTGGTGATCCCTTCCCCTACTCCACTTCCCCATTCCAGAAGTTTCGGCACCGTAGGGGGTGGGAGAGGCGAGAGGGAGGGGCCCCTTCAAGTCCGAAGGCTTTCACCTGGCTGTGTCCTCCTCCGGAGCAAGCGGCCCTTCCACATTTAAGAGGCACTTCCTGGGCATCTGCCGTGTGCTCAGCTCTGGGTGGTCCCTTATTTTAGGGAGTGAACATAGACAGTGACAGTGACATGGCACAGTGAGCGGGTGACACAGGCAACTGTCAGAGAGTAGAGATCTGAAGGAGGAGCGGGAGGTGCCCAGGGAGGGGAGGGAAAGGAGTGGAAAGTGTGGGCAAGTGCCTTGAGGCAGGAGTATGTGACACACTCTGGAGACCTGGGAGAGAGCACCAGGTCAAGGTGGCGACATTTGTCTCCTGGCTGGCCGGGCATGCTGGCCAGGCATGTGTGCCAGGTCTCTGCTGGGCCAGAAAAACCCACTCCTCCCTCTGCTGCTCCAGCGCTGAGAGTCCCCAGAGAGGTTTCCATGTCCAGGGATAGCCCCTGTTTATTTGCATGACCTCCCTGGGCCCTGGCCACAGGAGCTGAGCACAGAGGAGGTACATGGGAAGCTTTGTTAAATGGAAATGAATGGAATGTCCGGGGAGAGGGAAGTGGAGAATTTGCTTGAGGGTGGGTGTTCTCGTGGGACCAGAATAGGGAGAACATCCTCAGGGCTCCACCGTGGCCTCTGACAGTAGCCACAGCTTTGTAGCCCCTCTCCCCACCTCTTTCTCGTCCCACTCTAGTTACTATTGGTGAGCACACATCCTGTTCCCAGGGCTGATGAACCATCAGTTAAAAGATCCTACAGGACTTTTAGCACAGGCCTTTCCTTCAGTTCATTTGCCAATCTAACCACTTGTATCATGAAACTCCCCACAAAAGGGCACCAAAGGCACAGAGAAATCAATGCTAACTAGAGCCTGCCAAGTGCACTGGGAGGTGAGCTGCAGATGAAGGGGAGGGAGGAAGGGCAGATGGAGAGGCCTCCGGGTTCTCCTGTCAGGAGAGCCAATGTATGCACCAGAAGCTTGGAATGTAGAGATGTCAGCTGGCCGTGCCCCCTGCAGACCTCGCCCCATGTAGGCTGAGGCTGGGGTACAGCATCACAGACAGAGGAAGAAGGCTACAACGTCACATCGCCATGACTTGGGACCCACCCCGGTCATCAGCAAGACACAAGCAAAATAAACACACTTTGGACTTTGTCTAGATTCAGACTTCTTGGTGGGAACCCAGGAAGGCCACTTAATCTCTCTGAGGCTCAATTTCATTACCTGCTAGATGGGCATTAAACACCTACTTCCCAGGGTGGTCGTTACTGAGCATGTTTTGGGCCTCTGTTCTACACCAGGTGCTGTGTTCCATGCTGGAGACAGAGCAGAGACCAGGTCAGGAAGCTGTCTGGCCCACAGGGGACAAACGTTCCTTGAGGGAGATGGACAGCACATCAACCATCCAATGTAGAAGATGATTCTGATGCTTATGAAAGCACGAAGTGTCAGTGAGCCAGGGGCAACCACAGGGTGCCCAGGGAGGCCTCTCTGAGAAGGAGGCATGTGAGCCGAGACCCTGGTGGCAAAGGATGGTGGGCATGGAGCCCAGGACCAGGCAAATGCTCAATCATGTTGCTTCCTCAGCTCTTCCTCAGGGAAGAGATTCTGTACCAAGCAGATGAGCACTGTTGGGGATAGTGAGCCTCTAGGCTCAGAAAGGGCCAGGACACAAAGGGCAGGGACGGATGGTACTGGGAAAGGGGGTGGGGACTGCTGAGGCCACCCCCAAGCTCCTTCTGAGGAAGGCTCCCTCCTGCCAGCTCTCTGGTTCAGCACCCTGGAGAGAGTCAGTGTCTTGGCAAGGTTCAGTACCCTGGAGAGAGTTAGTGCCCTGGAGCGGCTCAGCACCCTGGAGAGAGTCAGTGTCCTGGTGAGGTTCAGCACCCTGGAGAGGGCCTGCTGCCCACGCCACTTCCTCCTAGTCCTCCCTGCTGCTGACCAGCTACAGAGTTTTATCTCCTTCAGTTGGTTTCCGGCCTTCACTGGACCAGCCCAGTCACCCCCAGCTCCATGACATCCAACCACTTCTCAAATCCACCCTGAACGTTCCGACTCCCTGAGCTTTTGCTTGATGTCCCCTTAGCTCTGCAGAAGCCCCACTCAGATCCCTGCAAACACCATCTCTTTCATCTCTTGCCCTGGCTTATCTGGGGGCCTTCACCAAACTCTGACTTTTGTCCCCCTAGTGCAGACTGTGTGCTCCCCAGGGAACTGAGTCTGATTCACGTCTTTCTTTCAGTCCAGCACCTAGTGGGCACCCAATGTGTGCTGCAGAAATGAATGAATGACGTTTCAGACGTGAAACACTTTACCATTTGTTGAGAGCTCACAATGTGAGAAACTGTGTTAGGTGCTTCACACACATTTTTATTTACAGTTTAAGAAACTGAGGCCAAGAAATGAGCAATGTGCCCAAGTTCACCCAGTCAAGAAGAGGCAGAGCCTGGATTCAAACCCAGATTGGAATGTGCAGCCCGTGCCCTTGACCGTGGCTCCTCTCCACTTCACTCCAACCCAGAGCTCTGCCATCTGCCAGTGCCACGGCATCTGAGCACAGCAGCCATGGTCCCCTGAAGTGATTCTGAATCTTTTTTTAACCTGAAATTGAAATCACTGATGCTTCAAATTAGAACCCCAAAATGAGCGAGCCAAGACGTCAGATTTGCTGTAGCAGGGCTGCAGCCGCCTTCCCTGCAAGATTCCAGGGCTGCTCCTCGGTCTGACCTTCTGTCCCAGTTAACATGGAAGACACAGGGAAAGATCACCTAGGCCAAGGAGGGCCATGTGTGGAACAGGAATTCAACCTCCTAGCCAGCCAGAGCCTCTTCAGAGCCTGAGAGAACAAAGACCCCCCAGTGCTGTGAGCCTTGGAGAGCAGATCCCAGAAGCCACAAAACGATCAGAGCAGAAATGCTCCACCCTCAGAGGGACTCAGGAAGCCAATGATTGTTTCTGATGCAAAACTAACAAAACTCTGGCCTTGACAACCAAAGCACCAGTGTGATCCCAGGTGAAAAGAATTCAGCAGTCATCCTGGATTCCTGCTAACATCAACTGATGTCTGGTCTTTAACTTAATTACTAAATTAAATAACAATTGAAATCATTTAAATAAGATATGAAGACTTTTTTAGGGGGTGGAATAGGGTGGCAGGAGTTCCTAGACTGGCCATCAGGTAACCAGCAGGACAGGTGACGGACGGAGTCAATCTCACTATCCCCAAGGCAAAATAGAGAAATGTGAGTTGTGTGGTGTGGCTGGAGAACTGGCCCTAAAGGGTGCTGGCATCTGGGAAGGCACAACAGGGCTCTGACCTTGGCCCAGGGATTTTTCACTAGATGGCAAAACAGGCACCCTGTATAGGAATTCCAAGATTACCTGAAGGCCAGACCCATGCCCAAACAGTTACCCAAGGCAGCAAATGCCCTGGGTGCAGAGGTTTAGGCCAAAACAGGAGGGGTGCCTGCCAGGGACACTGGCTGGCGGTGGGCTGAGGCAGATGCCTTATTAGCTGATAATCTATCCACAGGGGCACAAGAAGGCTGTGGCTCCTACATCTCGGCTGGACGTGTCTGATGGTGTGCGCTTGGTGCGTGCTGGACGTGCTCCGTAACTAACTGCTACATGCCCAAGAGAATAGTGGGAACAACCATGTGTCACTATAACTTATATTACTATGATTTGTTCAACTAATATTCATTGGCTTCCTCTCCTGATTCAGGCGTCGTTAATGAAAGCAAAAGATAAGATGTGATCAACAACAAATACCAACTTAATGCCAGCCCCCTGCCCGGCACCGGTGACCAGCAGACCCGGGGTGGGGCATAGCTCACTGCAGGTGATCAGTCCTCCCAACCGCCCACTTCACTAATGGACTCCCCCATTGGGAAACCTAAGTTTTCACTAATGAAATCCCCCATTTGGAAACCTAAGACTGAGCACATAAGCATAACTCTGCAGCTGGGGGGGGGGGGCCTGACCCGTTACCAGCGGGTTGTAACAACTGTACCTCACGCCAGCTGGGTTGAAAGCAATGGTTTGGGCAAACAAACGTGTTAGAGCCGCCTTAACTGATTCTCAAGTCCAGTTTTCACGGACCAGCCTGAGAAACATTTTATGAGATGCTCAAATGGTCTCTGAGGAAAACACCAGGGCATCTCTTTCCCTGTCCTCACTTAAACACAAACAAAGATTATAAAACAGTTTCAGGCCATTTCTACTACAAGTATTTAATATGAGAGAAAAGTAATTAGCAAATTCAAGCATCACTTTTCAAGGATGAAGGATATTGCTGCCTGCCTTAATTGTAAGGGAAAACCTATTTAGGGAAATTAACACAAAAACAAGATTGGCCACTTCAGGGCTGAGAAAACAATCACAAAAACCATAGGCATCTCCGGGTTGCGGAAGGAGCACCAGGAAGATAATTAGCGCAACCTGAGGCACTGTCCTCCGAGGGCAAACAGCACTGCCCTGGCCGGAGGCCGGAACCCTACCCTCCAGATAGCTTGCCTCTAAGAAATGCCTTCCTAATTTTAGGAAATTAATACTGTCAATCTCAAAAATCTGAGAAATAGAGAAAAAAATCTCAAAAAAGAAAAAATAGCATACTCCTGTCTTGTAGGGGTTAATATTTCTGTCTTTTGTTTGCTACGCCTGTGTTGGGGGAAGGTAGGATTATTTAGATAACATGGCACAGATCATTTTGATTCTGCCCTTCTTATTAAACAGAACGTAACCATCTCCTCCTGGTATTAAGAACGCCTCGTAAAAATAATTTCTTTTTTTTTTTTTTTTTTTGAGACAGAGGCTCAAGCTGTCCCCCTGGGTAGAGTGCCGTGGCATTACAGCTCACAGCAACCTCCAACTCCTGGGCTCAAGCGAGTCTCCTGCCCCCGCCTCCCAGGTAGCTGGGACCACAGGCGCCCGCCACAACGCCCGGCTATTTTTTGGTTGCAGCCGTCATTGTTGTTTGGCGGGTCCGGGCTGGGGATTCGAACCCGCCACCTTAGGTGTACGTGGCTGGCGCCTTAGCCGGTTGAGCTATAGGCGCTGGGCCGTAAAAATAATTTCTAACGCTTTCTTACAAACCCACGACAGACGTTCACTGACCCTTCACTGCTCCCCTCCTGCCACCTTCCCACCCCGACTCCCTGTGTGTTTGCAACACTCTATGATCTTCACCTATTTTTTAGATCATTCCCTTAGGATGACTTTCTAAAAAGTTGATGGCAGTTTAATTCTTTTACCTAGCAACATGAGCGTATTATGACCGGCAATGGGCATACTAGCAATAATAATAAAAGTATGCGCTGACTTAAAAATCAAAACTGGAACCTCATGGTTTGCTTCCCGTCTTCCCCGCGGCCCGTTTACATAGTAAGCACATCGAAAGGCCTCTCGTGCCTCTCTGAGCTGAGGCATATCGAGTCCGACAGCCTCGCTGGAATCCCAGCTTCCGCACCTGCCAACCACATTGAACCGCTCTGTGCCTCAGTTTCCCCATTTGTAAAATGGGGATGACAACACGTGTTATTTTATAGGATTGCTATGAGGCTCAGATGGGGGTAACACCGGGCAGGCAGACACACCCTCAACTGCTATGAACAAGGACACGGGCCTTTTATGGTATTTGCTGCAATTGTTGTTTGCCCTTTCACTGCTGAGTGGCCTAATGAGCTGTTCTTCAGATACAGAATCCAGCCCATGAAGGTAACTCAAGGAACACAACTTAGGTTTCTAAATGGAGGAGTTTGTGGAGGAGACAGTCCTGGTTTTAAGACAAGGAGATTAGGGCAGTTCCTGCTTCTGTTTGGGCTGAGGAGACTTTAGCTAGAATGCCAAATTAAGAGGTTCAAGTGCCAACTTGGATTAGGCCAGTAGGGCATCATTTTGCCTGCCCGCCAGGACCCCCTGTGGCATCACTGCCGCTTTCTAAAAACACGGATGCCGGAGCTCCTGCTTTGTGGTTCTGATTCAGTGAGACAGGCTGGGAACTAGGTCTCTAACAGGGCTTCCAGGGACCCTGATGTCCAGCCCATGTCACCAGGCAGAACTGACAGCAAGCCCCGTGGGACATCTGAAGAGCACCCCTCCCCCACATCTCAGTTAGTCGGTGCATGCCTGTCACCCACCAGCCAGCCACAGCCTCCTGAGGATGCAGCATACATTTTGGAAGCAATCTTTGACCTCTTCTGCCCCATCTTGGGGGATTGGGGAGGACTCCCTAAAATAATGTCAAAGAGACAGCAGATGGTCTTTAGCAAGTATTCCAGAATGCTGGTTCTGCCACTAAAAGCTCCCTGAGAAGCTCCTACCATTGTGAAAACAGTGTGTACCAGGTTGCCTGTTGTAACCAAAAGGGACTTGGGCTCTGCCCCAGTGCCCACCTTCCTATACTCACCCACCTCCCCACAGGTCCCACCCGAACTCCCAACAGGGAATGTTTTATGGCAAGACAATTTGCAAACTCACTCTTACCTGTCTTATCAAAATCCCCAGTGGGAGGCCTTTTACAGGGAACTTCACTCAAAGTCTTTGACTTTGGTGGGGGTGGAGGCACGGCCAACAAAGGAACAATAACACCAACAAAAGAACAAACTCTTCCCAAATGCTTAGGCAGGAAAGAAAGAAATTCTAGAAAGTAAGTACCCAAGAAAATCACACACAACAGGAAACCCTTCATTATAGGATTCCAGTTCTGAGCAAGATGACCAAGTTGGGGCATTCTGACAAAGTTAATGATGGAAAAATGAGATTCTGTAGATGCCAAAGTCTTTAAAAGCCAACATTCACTTCAAAAGGTGCCCCTTGGTCCAAAAGTTCAAACTGCAGCATGCATTTTTAAAGAGAAAATAAAAATCTGACATACTTTCAAGGTTCTTTCAAATAGCAGGGAGAGAGGAAGGCTTGCCAAGGGCCACCTGGGGTCACGAGGACAACAAACCTGCATGTTGGGTGGCTTTTCACGTGGAGGCTGGCCCTGTCCCTCACCAAGAACACAGAAACCCTACCGACCCAGACACATGAGGCTGTGTAAAATGAGCCCTTCAAGGTTGAAGCTTTCACTGAAAATAGAAAAAACCATCTCTGGAAAAAACCATGCACCTATAACGCTATAAGTGATTTTAACATTCTAGTTGCAAAATCCAGGCGCTAGGAAAATCGCTCAGTGGGGATTCTGTATTATGTCCCAGCACTTGCAGAAGAATGCTGGGTCCCCCGAGGCAACCTTGCAATGAACTGGGGGGAGCTCAGTTCCAACTGCCTGGCCCCTGTCTCCCACATTAATATAGGACCAGCCATAAGTGGCTTCTCAGGACTGTGGCTAAGGAGACCTCAGAGTTCCTTCAGGTCACACGTGACGTCACAGCATAGTGCAAATGAGTCTAACCATTCCTAGAATCCTGGAAATGAGAGGTCACCCAGAACATAGAACCTGCTCCAAAATGGCAAATATATTTGCATATCAGAGGTTGAAAGCAATGTCAAAGGAGACGCAAGAAAACCGAAGTGTAGATTTCGCTCCAGATTTCCACAGAGGCTTCAGTCTGACAAGGGACCACCAGCAGCAGCCACTAACCCGCACTGTCCCTATCTACATTTCCTTTCTTGACTGGTTTAGCAAAGAAACAATCCAATGAGCGGAACAATGGGGGTGCTCTTGCATCTGCAGCCCTCATTTATTATTAAAAACCAAGAACCAACTGCAATCTACTGCAACCCCTTGGAAGAGCCCCTCTCACACACTCACACTCCAGCGGCAGACTTCAGCCCTGCTCCTCAGCCCAGGACCACGCCCCCTCTGCCCCTCCCTCCTCCCTCTCTCTCTCTCTCACTCACACACACACACACACACACACAAAAGGTACTTACATCACAACTGCATCCTACAGAAGATGATTCAACCCAGTCTCTGCATTTTCATGAAGGTAACAAATCAAGTTAACCCATGAAGCAGTGGTGGGCTCCAGTCTCCACATTCCACATGCCCATCACACATTCCAACACAGGAGAATACAAATTAGCTCGCCCCTCATTCAAACCAGACTCCCTTTGGTCAATGATAATTTAAAGACGTCTTTTAGCAAATAACATCAACACAAGATCCTTGGAATAAGTTCAAACCCCTTCTCCATCTTACCTGGCTCTCTCTCTTCTAATAGTATTTTCCCTTCTGGATTCCATCACCCTTTAACAGTCTCAGGAAATACTGAGTGGATCATAAACAAACTCACAGCTTCAAAAGCATCCTTAGAACCTCAGGCCTATTGCGGAGAACTGGATTCAAGTGGCCATCTGACCAGGGGCTCTGTCTCCTGTACAGAGCAGGCATATGTCAGCCTGGCCCAAGGGCAGGGGACATTACATGGCTGTCTGGACACCACATATCCATCCTTCCCACCTCACGTGGGACTCTGATGGGCTAAGGCAGGGCTCGTGATTGTCTAAGAAATGTGAAGTACTAATGAGGGCCATTGGAGCCTACTGAACCTTTTCAAATGATCTTTTCCACCCTTCATATTTCCAAAGCGTAACACATTCCTTTGCACAACAAGATTGAAAGTAACACCTCAACTTGCAAAAGGGCAAAGCATTCAGTGTTGGCCCTGGGACACCTCACTCACATCAAGGTGCCAATTCCAGGTGACGTTTGCAAAACACAGGCACTCACATCTAGTGCCATTCCACAAGGGAAGAAGACGCTTGGTCCCTGGACACACTAGCAAAGCCTCCTTCTCCAAGCATTTGGATTTGCAAGTTCCCCTTCTGTGCCAGCAACTCCACACACCCCTCTTGCCCAGGGTGCTTGCTCCTTGGTCTTTGAACGCCACCATCCATCCAACAGGATCATTACTACAACTCACAAATCAATCAGCTCTTAGCCACCAATGCCACAGGCCTCACGCCAGTGAGTGTCAGAGTGCTTGCCAGGGTGCCCTCAAGATAAAGAACAAGGGATGACTCCCCTTGGTGTTGATGTACAGAGGCACAATGAAACAGTCCACACATCTGCGTATGTCCCCAGCATTGTGGTGACCACACGTCTCTTTCTACCTTCTATATCATGACCAACAGCCAAGTCCCATATACACTATTTCCTCCTTGCAGCCAAAACCTTGAAGATAATCGAAACTCCAGGTCCACAGGCAGTGGTATCCACAGTGGGTTGCAACGAACAAATAGCAAAAGTTCATAGCAAGTCCAGATCAGAACTCATGGCCATGCTGCCAGGAACAAAACCCTTGTCCCATTGAGAGTCGGCGCTCTCCCCAAGCAGAAAAGATACCTATGTTCCTACCTCAATCAGGAAATCTCCAGTCCTCAGTCCGGCTTGCCATGCCACCCCGCCTTCATCCACGGACTCCAGGTACTGAAGGGCTGGGAATGCCGGCGTCGGTGTGAATTCTTCAATGGGTGTATCAGCTGGGGAGGGAAGGAGGACTTTGTTACAAGTCTGGGAGACTGTTTTCCAAGTTAATAGTCCCTGACCTCTCCACGGAACCCTGGGAGAGAGGGGCCCCAAGTGTCTCTCATTGGAAGTGGGCAGTCCAGGCCAACACTTCCCTAGCAGGCATAAGACTCAAACTCATGGGTCAGCCCCAACTCCAGCACTGACACCGATTTCCTGTTGGTACCACCATTATGGCTCTTGGCCTCTGTGCTGAAACCATGGATAACGTGCTCTATGGTACATGTCTACACGCCTGTCATTTTCTTTAAAAGCATCAGTGACTAAACATTTTCAGTTCTAAAAATGGAAAAGTTCCTCCCCTACCACACAGAGCTACAGAAACACCACACTGAACCACTTGCCAAATTTATATCTACGTAGACTCGCAACCAAGGGAATTCAACTTGGAACATGGACGGAACATCATGCTGACCCAGTGGGCGGCTGCAGGTTTGGAATCTGCTCATGAGCTCTCTCTGTGGCAGCCCGGGCCTCTATGACCATGTCCAGGGGAGGGGTGGACCACCACTCCTCTGCACAGTGGGGCTCTGTGTCTGAGGCCCACACAGCTGCCGAATGCAACTCTAGGGCAAGGGATAGACTTTCCCGGGAGTCCTGAGTGGCCGGGGGTGGGTGCGTGTGCAGATGGAGATGGTAGCAGGGAGAGGGGAGAGCACACCACATGGGCAGGTGTGGACATCCTCTCGGGGACAGATCACTGCCAGACTGCCTAAACCCAAGGCAGGAGGGAATGCCGGCAGGGAGGCCCGCAGCGCAGGTGCAAGACCCCCTGACATAGCGAGGAGGCTCTGAGATGAAACTTCCACATGGCTTGCCCACACACGCGGCGGGCAGATGTCCCCTCTCATGGGGAGGCGATGCCATTTTCTTTTCGTTTGGAAGGGAAGCCCCCAAGTTAAAGGCAGGCAGTGGGCACGCTGCCACAGACTGCATCCCTGAGCCTCCCACCATGGGCCACGTAACGTGTGTGCTGCTAGCTCGGTCCATGGCAGAGGGGACCATCTTGCCACATTTCCTTTGCAAAGTCACCTTAGAGGCTGGCACACGGGTGCCTACCGGCCTGGGAGCTGAAGCCCACTTCTAGAATGGGGCGGTTTCTAGGTAGCTGAAACTCAGGGGATGGGTAATTCTATGTGTATGAGACCAGGAGCCCGGATTACAGCCCCAGTCTGGCTAAATGAGCCCATGAAATATTGATCATCTCCATCATTAAAAAAAAGAAAAAGAGGTGGGGGAGGGCTGAAGACGATGAGAGAGAACCTGTTCAGAGTATTAGGTACAGAAAATTAAAAACATTCCTAAAGGAAGCCCCAGCGTTTTCTGAGTAAGGCAGAATTTTAAAGAACATGGTTGTCTAGCAACCAAGTGCCCCCAGGAAAAATGCTTATTTCATGCTTGTTTCTGAGCTGGGGAACATTTTTCATGCAGACGTGCACACACACACAACATGGGAACGCGCCCAGGCACAGAGCTTACCTTTCGCCCCTCGGAGCACGAACCCGAAGCCCTCATTGTCTTTCTTCTGCAGGACCACTGTCTTCTCCTCGATAATGCAGTCGCTGTAGAGAGAATTCCGGGGATAGCGACCATTACTGTAACCCGTCATCATCACCGCCGCTGCTCCTCCGCCGGGCACGTTCATCATCATAGCCAATTAATCACCCAGCGGGCCGGACCCAGGCAGCACGGAGGCAGCGGGCGCGAGGGCGCGGGAGGAGCGAGAGAGGGGGGCGGCCGCCAGGATAGGCGAGCTCGGCACAATGAGGCTCGGAGGGGGGGCGGGCGGAGAGGGAGCCAGCCCGAGGCAGGAGTCACGCATGGTGGGGCGGCCGGCTCAGGGGGGGCTGGCCAGCGTGCCTCCGAGAGCAAAGAAAGTAAGCGGCCCGCACGCCGGCGGCGGTGGCAGCAGCGGCCGCGGCAGCAGCGAGATGAAGGGGCCCCTCCGGCCTGCCCCAGCCGCACGCATCTTCCAGGGAAGCCCGGCGAAATCAGCCAGGGGAGAAATGAGGCAGCAGTTTTGTTTTGCTTTTCCTTGAAGAGGGGTAGAAAAGAAATCAATCCTCTCTGCTTCCCCCACGAGCCGAGCCGGCAGCAGGCGCCGGGGACAGACGCAGGGACCCGTGCGTGCGCGGCTTCCAGCGCTCCCTCCTTCTCCCGTCCCGCGACGGTGGCTGTGGCGCGGCAGGAGCCCCCACGATCATCTGACGAGCCCAGAGCGCGCCGGCGGCCGCCTGGGCGTCATCCCGAGATCCGGGCTGGGCTGGGCGCAGGGGGCGGGGAGCGGCCTGGCCCGGGCTTCCGCGGCGGGCGGGGGCTCCTGACGGGAGGCAGCAGGTTATTTCAGCCCCGCAAAGCCTCTTTCGGGGAATGATGAATTAGCTGCTGGGACCAGGAAAAGGGGGCATGCGGCTGCCTCCTTTGAGATAACAACCTAAAGCTTCTCAGCACAGCTTTTTTTTTTTTTTTTTTTAAAGGAAAGAAATCAGGAAGCTCCAACTTTGCTGTAGTTGCTGAGGCCTCCTCTGTCTGAGCCCATGGTACTATGCCGGACACCGACCCCGCGGAGGCACCTGGGGAGTGTAGGGGGACCTGCACTGCCAGGTGGGCCATGAGGCAGTGGCTAAACCGTCGTCCACCCCCACCTCCTGGGTGGCCCTCACAGACAGAGGGGGGTGAGTGGAAGGTTGGGGGGGTGCACATCGTGGGGAGAGGCCTTCTCCAGGGTCCCGCAGGATACCGCAGCCAGAGGCCCAGGCAGAAAGGGCTGTGGACAGTCCCTGAAGCACCCAGCAGACCAGTCCCAGAGAAGCAGGCCTGGGGATGGAATGGCAAACAGTTGGAGAAATGTGTACAACCAGCTAGTAACAGCATGGCCATCCCCGACCAGGTGGCTCTGGGGAGGAGGGATGTGTGTATAGGCCTTGGCATCCTGGACACAGATAGGCTACAGCTCCTCAAGGCTCCCCTTCTACCAGCAAGGCCAGTGAGGTTCAGAGAAGTTGAAGGACAAAGTGGGGAGCGCACACTTGTTCTGATCCACCCTGCACACTCTCTTGCAGGGAGCTGTGTGGAGGAACTTGCCTGGGTAACCCTGTCTTCCAGGAATGACCAGGCATGGGATGAGGCACACCTCCATGGCTGCAGACCTGGGCAACCCAGCATGACTGGTCAGGGCTCTAAGAACTTGGCAGGGGGCTCAGTCCCCACACCCTTGCTCTATCTCCCACTCTAAAGACACCAGCCACATGCAGGGAATCTCAGCTCTGGGGAGCTTGGCTGTGACTGTGAGCCCCACTCGGCTCAGCCTCCCAAAACCCACCTGCTCTGCTCAGAGCCCGCAGAAACAGGCTGAAGCATGGACAGAAGTCCAGGGCACTAGGAGCCATAGGTGGTGTCACATGGCAGGTGTAGCCATTTATATGTAAACCTGGGTTTTCCCGCACTATCAAGAGGCACCAAGAACAAGCTTCTGAGAACTACCATGGAGTCAGAGGGGGCCATGCCCACAGGGACACGGTGTGACAAGATGCTCCAGGGACCGTCACTGCAATGGCTATAAGTAGCCACAAGTAGCCTTGGCAGTCAGCCAGGACCCCGTGGCCCCAGGGTGGGAGAAAGGATAACGTCAAAGGGGAGCTGGCTTACCCTGGCCCCATGGCTCGCAAGTGGCTGGGCAGATGCAAACCTGCAATGAGCCTGTGGGCCTCCTTCTCCATGGGAGGTTCTCCAGAGGCCTCGGCTGCTGCTCCGTCTCTGTATTCTGCTCCCTACCTGACGAGCTACCGAGGGCAGGTGGCCCCCGACACTCTGGAAGGATGCCAAACCCGAGGGGCCTGTGCTTACTGCCCTTTGCTCTCCCTCTGGATCAACTATGTCCACTTCTGCCCAGCCCCAAGGGAACCTGTTGTAATCAGGCCATACTCCTGTGACCAGGTAGCTCCACCCACGGGACCAAACTTGGGTCATTTCCTGCCAGCTGCCCCTGCAACAGGGAACTTCTCAGTGCCAGTGGGCTGCCTGGACATTCATGGGCTGTCTTCTACTGACCACATGAGGGCTGGGAGCTCTGCAGAGTCTGTGTGGTGAGGGAACCAGCTACGGTGTCACATAGAGCCTGGTTCAAAGCCCAGCTCCACTCTGACCCTGAGGTCACCCTGACTTTCTAAGCCTCAGAATCCTGCCCTGCATAATCAGAATCCCCACTCTTATCCATACCTCGTGGGGCCCTCAGGAGCAGCGCACACAGTAGTCCAGGCCTTGGGGCCAGCCCTGGTCCCAAGGATATGCTCACTGTACTGAGGATCCCCCCTATCCTGGAAGGATCCTCTGATCAAGCCACAACCCAGGTTCAAATCTCCTTGATTCCTTATCCAGTCAAGAACTTTCTATCCCATACTTGTGACTGGGCAGCTGTCTTGCCCTAAACGACTAGAAATGGCTCCATCCTGTTTCTTGAGTAAAAGACTAAACTTCTCAGCCTCATGTTAAGAAGGACTGTTTCTAACTTCCCTGCCTCATTTCAGGAACTAAACAGGCCCCACTCCCATCCCCCGCCTGCTACACCCTTATCTCACGTTCATTCATGGACAGACCTGGGTTTAAATCCCAATTCAGATGGTTTCCAGCTTTAGCTAATGAGAGCCTCAGTTTCTCCACCCATAAAGTGGGGACAAAAACATCTGCCTTGTGAGGTTTACAAGGAGCAACTGAGACAATGCCCAGTAAGTGCCCTGTGTGCAAACAGGCACCACAAGACCAGAGGATGTGCTTTTCTTAGCATTCTCTTGTACCCTCTCATGCTAGGGAACCCAGGAGCAAAGGTCCCTCTTCCCAAAGAGACATGAGCTCGAGGGGACAGGGGCCTCATGCTGCACAACACCCCAAATGACCACAGTACCTGCATGGACCAGGTACCCAGATGTGCCTGGAAGGGAAACAAAATGGGCATGAATTCAAGTCAGTAGTGGAACAAGAAGAAAATGGATGTTGGCCGGGGGCGGGGGTGGAGGGGCAAAGGGTGATCACAGGGTTTGGAGTGAAGAAGGCTCTGGATGGTCCCTGGGTCCCAGTCACAGCAAGAGGGAAGGCACAGCTCAGCACTGTGAAGCACCAACCACAGACAGCTGGTGTGGCCCAGGAGGCCAGAGCAGGGAGGAGAAAGGCAGCCAGGGGCCCTTGCAAACTTTCACTGTTTTGAGCAATTCCCAAAAACCAACAGGATACCAAGAGCTGCAACATTTCCCCAGCCCCGGGCAATCAGAAACCTTGCACTTAGACCCAGGAAGCTCTCTGGAGATGAGAAAGTCTCAGAAGCTGCTCCTGCCAGTTTAGGAATACAAAACCCATCCCAGGTGTGAGCCACTGCCCATGTGTAGAAGCTGTGGTACTGAGATTCCATCTCCACGTGCTATCCCTGAGCTGCACTGAAGCTCCCGTGAACCAGAGCCTAGGACATGTGGCATCTTCATAAGAGCCAGGGTTACCCAGCCCCCAGGAGTCCATCACCTGACAGCAGGTGTTCCGTGAGGAATGGCAGCTGGACCCCGGTCCCAGTTACCTCTGAAACTCAGTCCCAGTTGATTAAAGAAGAACTGTATCTGTTAGACTTCAGAGTCCACCATCCCAGCTGGGATCCTGAGAGCTGCTGGTGAAGCCATCTGGTCTGATCTCAGCCCTGGCCCCGCCCACCCTGGCCCTGCACCGCAGATCTGCTATCCAGATGCAGACCTAATGCACTGAGGTCCAGTGTCACTAAGGAGTAGGGGGCAGCTGCAGCACCTGCACATCCCCCATACTGCTCTGGGGCAGCCTCGTCCAAGCCTCAGCTGGGCCCTGTAACCCCTAACCCCTAACCCACTAACTGATTATGTGTCTGAAGTAGTCACCATGGGCTCCTTCTGAATCTCCACCCACCACCCATCTACTTGTGCTTATTGACTGGACAAAAAATATCGTCTAGTGGTATTCTCTTCAACTGTGTTTGCTGAGTGCAGCGGGGTGGGGAGCACTTTGACATAACCCAAATGTGCCCTCTGCCAATGTCTGCCTGCAGCAGAAGCTGTGGAAGGCAAACAGGATGGGCATCAGCCCTGTCAAGTACAGTTGTGCAGGTTGTACACAGCACAGCACAACTACAGAGGTCACCATTTACAAAGTAGGTCCATGTACTTAGGGTGGAAAGTTCGGCACAGACGGCAGTAAAGCGTCTGGGGAAAGGGGTAAGCACATTTTCCTAGTTCAAACAAAAATGGGGCACAAGCTGTTGGCTGCCATGGAGAATGCAAAAGAGGTCCCTCTAGGAACCATATAGACCTCTGCAGACACAACCAACTCCGTGTTGAAACTCTCCCAGGAGCCACCTGGTGGGGACTATTAAAGGTCTTTCGGTTCGTGCTCACGGCACACAAGAGGGAAGAGATTATGGGACACACCTGGAGCAATCTGCAGCTGAAAGCAAGTCAGGAGTGGTGTGGGGACTCTGGGCTGGCCACGCGGGGGGCCCCAGAGGCCTCACCCCCCTGGCAGTCCTGCAGATGCCCCTGGCATCTGCCTACGAGAC